CATATACATATACATATATATATAAGTATGAGCCCGCTACCTTTGGGGTCTATTTAATTTATTTTTCTTGTACACAATATCAAAATACAAGTTAAATGATAATAAATGTTTTCACAATGCTTACTCATGTGATGTGATGTAACATACTTCTGGTGAAGCGGAAGGGTTGGCATGGCCTGGTGTGGGGGGGTGTGAGACAACAAGCGGAGGGGTGGGGTGGGGGGGTGGCGGGTGGACGTTGGTGTGCCACACCGTTGAGGTAGCACTCGCCCTTCAAGAACTATTCACGTGAGTAAGCACCAAACATGTAAATGCCGTTGCCTCCATCTCTCCAGGTGCACCTGGCTGGGCACTGACTTTCAGGAGCAAAGCTGTCATTTTCGCTGATATGTACCGTCTTAGTCATGTAACATTGAGCAGAAAGCTCATGCTCTAAATCAAGAAGAAAGCTTCCCCCTTGCCCACTAGCTCGATGGAAGGCTTATCCAGATCCACCGTGCTAGCCCTAAGGCTCTCCTCGCCGGCTGCAGCTCTCCACTCTCCATCTTTCTTAGCCACTGTTGCTCGTTGTAGTAGCCTCGCCCTAGATCCTTCTCCAGAGAGTGGGCGACCTCCCGGTGTTTGTATCCATCGGCGCCCCTGGCCCCTCGTGCTTGGTTACTCTGGGGCTCTGGCCTTCTCTCCGATCTCTCCCGTCCGTATCCAAGGCCTCCTTCCAGGCCGTCCATATCACATCGCACTCCTCTAGCCAGCAGTTCCGAAAAGAGCATGGCATTGACAATAGTTTCTTACCGGCATGGGCGGCAGAGGCTGCGCCCTTTCACTCCTCACTGGCGCACCGCTAGCATGTGCTCGGTCTCGCCATGGCGGCGGTTTGGGCCTACTGGGGTTGTGCACTCCAGGCGCCGTACTGAAACTCAGCTGGAGACGGCTTATTTGACATCAGTGCATGCCTGCTATGCCCGCACCCTGCGTTGAACGACATGCTTCACCCTTACCGCTCCTCGCGGGGTGCCCACGAGCAGTGCGCCAATTCCACATTGTACGCGCCGCCAACCGAGAAGAAGTTATCCTTTAGCCGCTCGGCCGAACCTAGCCCGGCTTTGTAGAAGGCTATTCTCATCCTCCCCATGTAGCCGTCCTTCTTCTCCAGCTAGCGTTCTATCCGTGTTGAACGGCGCGCGTTGGACTGGTAGCCGCGTCGCCCAGTGCTCCCTCGCCGGCGGGAAGGTCGATCGCCCACATGCCTCGCCGATGTGGGTTCACTGGCCTTCTCTCTGTCTCCTCCCGCCTCAGTGGCCGGGGCGGAGGTCTAGGCTGGCTGGCTGGCTCCCGCCTTTTTGTAGCGAGATCCTCCAAAGCCCTTATCCCTAGCCCTTCTAGCCAGACTCGAGCTCATCTAGCTCGCAGGGTTCGTCGCCTACCGCCACGGTGGCGTTCTCCTTTTTAGCACGAGACAACTCCTAGCTTGACTTGGAACGAACCTTGTGAACATGTCCCTCCCACCTTGGTTATTATGTGGGTGGGGTAGCCAGCCGGCTCGGTCGGGGACTTGGACCCCTTGCCACCAGGTTCGCCCCTGCAGAGGAGAGGAGGCTGGCACCTATCCAGCCAAGGTTCGGGATACTGGAGTTGGCTATGATTGGGTTGGATGAATCGGCGACCGTGGCCAGGGACCTGGTCGAAGAGGTCGAGCCTTACATTGGCACCTCCCTCTACCTCGGTGCAGGAGGCGAAGCCGACCTGGAAATACGGGCTTGGGCTGCACCAGTGCATGAGCCTGGGAAAACGTCCGGCCAAGGGAATCGACAGCTGGAGGGAGAGCCGCGCAATGCCTGGACCGAAAGAATTCCCGGATGGCTCAATCGGTTTTGCTGCAGGCAACACAACCAAGTACAGAAGGCACGACAGCAGAGGCATCCGCAACTAAAGCCTACAAAGAAGCTCCGACCATCGAAGCACTCATCGGGGCAGCGCCATGAGCTTCCTGCATGAGACCAGGCACGGTCACCGAAGCCCACGACGACAACGGTCGACAGCCGAGGTTGCGACCGTGCTCACAATTTAAGAGTCGTGGCTGCAGGCTGCGAGGCAAGGAAAATGGGCCAGGAGCAACATCGCAGGCAAGGAAAATGGGCCAGGAGCAACATCGCAGCTAGAACAGACCCAAACAGAAGCAAAGACGAACCAGGCCCGTTGCCGTCGCGACCTCGCCATCACCAGGCTGCAAGCCAGCAGTCAAACACGATAGCAGGGACCTGGATATTGATCCTGCACAGCACAATTGTCCAACCTAAACACCAGCAACCCCCTAAAACACCTCACACTACTCCAAAGGGGCGGCGGACCTCGGGGGCCGGAAGAGGAAGCAGAGCCGCCGATGGAGCCAGATCCAACTGGCATCCAAACTACAAACAAGCGAAAACTCCTGTGGAAGCCTCAAACACCTAACCCCAAACAGACGAGGCCCTGGAAACCCAAACGCATCTTCCTCGAAACCCGCCCTGGCCTCCTCTGCTTCACTGTCCTCTGGCGCATGCCGGGCCGCGAACTCCTTCACCTGGCACATGCCTTCGCTTTCCAGCCAAACCTTATAAGACATGCTCAAGGGCCCCGCTCTCTTCCGCCCATTTGTTTGCCTGGCCAAGGTTGATGTGTCATGTGTTTTTGGCGGGGGAAGGGAGATGAGTGCTTAGAGACAGTGGAAATATCGTTAATCCATTCGTGCATGAATCTCTGGGCAAAATGCCTCCGTGGACTCGCATAGCCAATGGCATGAATGCAAACATCGAACAACAACACGTCACAACCAACATCAACCGATTCCCCGGCGGTCGAACTATAATTCCGCGGAGGGTACACTACCCCAAGATACATAAGTTAGGTGCGGGTATACCTACACTGCCGTACGGAGAGCATCAGCAGGGATATTCCCAAGTATCCAAAAACTGGGAACTCCTCCCAAAGCCGAATCGACACGGCCCCATGCCATGGCATCGAACCCCGTCCAAGCGAGGGCTCAGATTTGCAGACATGGCTCCAGAAAACGGATCTTGTCCTCCGGACTCCCGAGGACCCAGGGGGCCGAAGCCCGGCCTGATTCCTGGGAACCCCGTCGAGCCACAGCTCGGGTGGAACAAGATCTCATGAGATACCCAGCCTCCAGCAAACACTAGGTTGTTACTGTTTGCACTTCGTGCAATGCACAAAAATTTTGGTGCCCAAATAACTCAAACAATTATATTAAAATAATTCAACTCTCCCTTCTTTTAAATATTCAAGTTGTTTTAGATATTTTAATTGTTTAAATCGCTGGGTTTGTGATGTTTGTGATTGAATATGGTAAACTACTATCATGTTAATAATTTCAACTTTTTTAATTTTAAGACACAAATATCTGAAATAGTTAAACTAATTCAAATCCCTCGCTTCATCCAGGCCTTATCTAAACAATTACAATAACTAATAAAATAAGTAGGATGATTGAAATCATCCGCATATTCTTTATGTTATTTATTTCAAAATTTTGGGGGCCGAAATAGTTAAGATAATTCACATCCCTCTTGTTGTAATTGTTTTAAATACTTAAATCGCTGGGTTTTTGATTTAATTTAGTAGAATACTACTATTCTAATTATTTCAATTAACTTGAAAATGTTGGTGCCCAAATAATTAAAATGATTAGTGTCCTTTTTGATTATTTTAATTATTTCAATTATTTTAATTGCTTTGATTATTTCAATCGCTGGGTTTCTGATTTGCTTTCAGAATGTTGGTGCCCGAATAATTAGAATACTTAAAATAATCCAACCCCCTCTTGTTGTAATGACTTGAATTATTCCATTTTTTACAAACTTTTAGGAGCCAAACAAATAAAAAAAAGTAAAATACTAAAATCCTGCTTATGCTAATTATTTTTTTAGCTAAATCGTCGGGTGTCTAATTTAATATATTAAAATACTGTTACTCAAATTATTAAGTTATTCTAAAAAGTTTCGGTGCCCAAATCATTAAGAATATTTAACATGATTCAAATCCCTGGCTTCATGTAGGGATTTTCCCCTTTTTAAATAATTTAAAGTAACTAAAATATTTAAAATAATTCGGAATTTAACAATTTTCTACGTTAAAAAAAAATTGGCCGCCAAAATTAGAATATTCAAAATCCCTGGATTTGTATTTAATTCATTTAAATTACTTTAAATATTTTATATATTACCATCTATATTAACGAAACTCCAGGCGCAAAATAGACCCCAAAGGGAGCTCTCTCATAGCTATTACATATATATATATGGATATAAGTATACATGTACCTACATATTACAGCTGTTTGCAGACTTGTACAGCTTGCGGTGCAACTCAACTTCTCGGACTCTGGCACAAATTCCACGGGAACCTCACCACCAAACCAGAACCGTTGGCCGTCCTCCTTCACAGCAAACTGGCCAGTGGAGATGCTTCTAGCACGTTCTCACTCACTTGCTCGCCGTCGTTCGTTCGCTTGCACCTTCTTCTCCTTTCGACTGTGATCCTGGCACCTATCAACCCAGACCAACCTGGTCATCCGCATCTAGCTGGCACAAACCGTTTGGGAAAATGAATTTCGTGTCCGCCTCCAACCTTTCCAAAAAAATTGACACATCTTAGCATGCTCTCGATCACCACTGCCGTCTCGTTTACATACTCCAAGCAAGACTTGCGTTTCTGCCAACCGGCTCTCCTTCCCTTGCTCGTGCCTTTGCCACGATGAGTTCAGGGCGCACTCGGTGAAGACTCAAGACCCCATGGATGGAGAATTTGCGCACTTTCGGTGAGAGTCGTGAAACCAGCAGCATGCCGGCCCCGTCTGCAAGGATTTGTTTGAACACCCTCAGCCCTGAGTGCAGTCCAGCTTGTCAAGCTTCAGCCGCCACGTGTGGCCCGTGTCATCCAAAGGATAGTGCGCAGCCATCCCTGCTGTGAGACCTGTCGGCGATTGGACAGATAACATGCAACATTCCGAAGATACCAACACGATCAACTCACAAGCTCCAACTGCCGCCTCGCCTCGCAGCGGTTCATCTAGCCATCGCAGCGTGTTGTGAGAACCGACCTCAGCCAGGTTGCGGCTCACCCAAACCTGCTTGCAGACGGCCCAGGCACGGCACCAAGACGTGAAGTTCCTGTAGCTCCCAAGCTACGCTGGTAGGCCTTTGGACACGGGGTCATCTGGTGCGTGTGCTGCAAAAAGAAGTCTCGAGGCTGATGCGGACGGATTCGGGAACAACAGAAGTTCAAGACGACAAAATCGGACAATTACGGGCTGAGGACAACACGCGACCGCTCCAACAACAACCCTGCAAACAACAAAGCAGTTCTACAACTACTGCAAACTCTACTACTACTACTACTACTACTACCACCACCACCTCACCACTACCATCTCTACCACCACCACCACCACCACCACCTCCAGCAGCACTACTACTACTGCTGCTACTGGTACTACTACTGATCCACGGCAAACCCCAAACCCTCAAAGAAAGATATATTGCTGGGGTGGCAAACCAAGAACCTGAAAATACCTGAAAGAGATGTTGCGTGGCGCAACCCCGAACCCTAAAAGAGAAGGCAGACCCCAAACACTTAAAAGGATTATGTTACTTGGCAACCTCAGACAAGAGAACATCGTGGCGTGCAAAACCTAAACCCTAGAAGAAAACAGTTTTGCCTGGCAAACTCTAACTCTGAAAGCATTGCCAAACCCTCCCCAAAGAATCAAACCCCAAACCCTAAAAGAGAAAGTTTTCGCTTGGCCAAATCCGAAACCAGAAAGGAAGATGTTGCTTGGCAAACCCCAGCAAAGAGAAGACATTGGTTGACACCCCCCAGACAAGATCGTGGAGGTGGCAAACCCCACTCCCCACCCTGCAAACTCCACACTCCAAAAGAAAGGGTTGATTGGCAAACCCCGATACCTAACATTGGCAAACTCCAAACGATTTTGGGATACACCCCAACAACGACCAACCTTTCACAAAAAAAAATGTCTTATTGGCAGGCAATCCGAAACCTTAAAACGATATTGTTGTTTGACATACCCCAAACCCCACAAGAAGATGCTGCTTGGCGGCTTAGCGAAACCCAACACAAGATCGTGGGTGGCAAACCCCACAACCAGAACTTGCAACCCCAAACCCTAATCGACAAAAACAGCTGGTTGGCAAACCAGAAATGTTACGAAAAGATATTGCTGCAATGCTGCTTACTACAATGGAACATCCTGGGGGGCAAACCCGAAACCCTCAAAAAAAAGCCAATCCCGAACAGACTGGTAGGCAAACACGAAACCCTCAAAGTCGTGACGGTTGGCAACAACCAAACCTTAAAAGAAATTGACAAACCCTTATCCCGAAAGAAAAAACACATTGGCTGGCAAGCACTGACCCTTAAAAGGGTGATTCTGCTTGGCACACCCAAACCCCAAAGCCTGGACCCTAAACCTTGAAAGTAGCCGCCGGTTTGCAAACACCGAACCTTAAAACAAGATGCTAGTTAACAAACCCCCAACCCTAACAACAAAAACTTGTGTTGGTTTGCAAACCCACAACCTTGAAAGAGATACTGCTTAACCTCGATGACTCAAACCTCAAATGAACATGTCGCTTGGCACACCCCGTAGCCCAAACCACAAAAAAAACATTGGCTGGCAAACGGTAACCGTTAACAAGTACAGAAGATGCTCCTGGGTGGTAAACCTTGAAACCCCCCAAAAAATACTGTTGGTTTGCAAACCTGAAACCTTGAACGAGATCTTGCTTAACCTCAATGACTCAAACGAACATGTCACTTGGCACACCCCGTAGCCCAAACTGGAAAATGAACACACATTGGTTGGCAAACGCTGGCCTTCAAAAGATGATGCTGCTTGGCAAACCCCAAACCCTAAAAAAGCTTATTTCTGGTTGACAAACCCTAAACTTTGAAAGTAGCGGTTGGTTGGCAGACACCAAATACAGAAGATGATCCTGGGTGGCAAACCCTTGCAACCCCAAAAAATACTATTGGATTGCAAACCTGAAATCTTGAACGGGATCTTGCTGAACCTCAGTGACTCACATGAACATGTCACTTGGCACAACCCAGATCGACCCTTAAAATAATGGTCTTGGGTAGCAAACCCTAAACCCTAAAATAAAAACTTGGCAAACCCTAAACTTGAAGAGGAAATGCTCCAACCCCCGAAGAAAACCATAGCTGGCAAACCCCAAACCCTAAAAAACATGTTGGCGAGCACACCCAAAACCTCAAACCAGATGTGGCTTGGCAAACCCCAAACCCGAAAAGAAAATCGTGCGTGGCACACCAAACCCAAACGGCAAAACAGGGTTAGCAAGCCTGAAGCACTGCCCCAATCCAATCCCTACAGACTGTGTCCATGTTGCTTGGCAAAGACCCAAACCCTTAACACGGACATGGGCGGCAGACACCTGAAAAGGACATGTCGCCGGCAAACCCCACATTGCCAAACCCTCAATCAAGATCCCGGGTGGAAAGACCCAAACTGTAGAGACAAAAAAACAAGGTTGGCAAACGAGACCTTACAAGGAGAGGTTGCTTTGCAAACCTCAAAAAAACCCTAAAAAGACCCTGCAAGCTCAATTGCAAGGGTAGTTTTGTGTCGTTTTTGTTCACGGTTTCGTGTTTTTAATGTACTGGGGAGTGACCTTTATTGCTAAGGTTTTCGGCTAGTACGGTTCTGGTGTTTCGTGTGTGATGACGACGATGACCAAAATAATGCAATACTAGACTGCTGCAGCTGCTGTGTGCTGCGCTCCGTCTTGCTACTGCTGCTGTGGTTGGTATTACGATGGTGCGTGTCTCTGTGTGTGTGTGTGGAGGGGTTGAAGTTTTGACATATCGGCGATACTCGGAGGACCAAGATGCGTACAGCCGACTCAGCAGCTTGCGGCTCGTGCACTGCAAAACTCCCGCAAAAAAAAGGTAGAGTGGCACTGTCGCAGTCCAGGAATAGACGCAGCAGGAATGCCGTACCCTATGAGGCTTCAGACTTGCAGGTTTAGGATGTGCCGACCCCGCAGCTGCTTGATGGCTCAGCTTGTCAGATGTGTTTATTGTGATGGAGAACGTTATTAAAGTCACCCGCCACCCGATCAGAGAACATCGCCGACAACGGCAAAGAGGTAAAAAGAAAAAAACGCAAAGCGCGCAAGGCGCAAGAGAACTAGAACCTGTTTCACGATGTGGGGAATATACCACGCGGCCACGTTTTTGAGCTTACGACGACGTTGCAACCTACGACCAACACTGACGTCAGCTTTGGTGCAAAAAGCGCCGTGCAGGACGGCTCTTCCGATGCCATGGAGTGGCGACACGGGGATGGAATGGCACGTGAACAACAGCAAAAAAACACCCCAGAAACTGAACCCGCTAGGCTCAAAGATGATCGTGCGTGGCAAACCCCAGACCCTAAAACAAAAGCAGGGCTTGCAAACTCTAAGCCACAAGGCACGGTCGTGGGTGGCAATGCCCAAGCACCCCAAGCCCTGAAAGAAGGATCGCAGGTGGCAACTCCCAAACATCCCAAACCCCAAAGGCAGACCATGGCTTGCAAACCCTAAACCCTAAAGATCCTGGGCGACAAACGACCCCAAACGCAACCCTGAATCTTCTAAAGATTGGTAGGCAAACCCCAAGGTCGTGGTTGGCAAACCCCAAACCCTCAAAGAAGACCGCGGCTTGCCAACACCAAACCTAGCCCAAACGCCAAGACGAGAAAATGCTGGTTGGCAAACCCCAAACCTGAGCAGGACATGATGGCGCAGACACGCACACACACTTAGATAAGTGGTTTCTGCACTCGCGGACAGATGTACCTGAGGTACATACGCTAGCTGTTCGTACACAGAACTCCGTTGTGGTGTGTAATGCAACATGTGGTCGAGCCATCATGAAAATCAGATTGCAGCAACAATGCAGGTAGTCGCTCCTATATTGGTTACTCCAGTGCCACAGGGGGCCCACTGGCTAATCCGAAGGCAGGTACACAAGACTGATCAGGTCTTGCTTCCCACTTGCATCCACAGCTTCGTTGAGTGTGGTAGGATGCAAGTGCCACACTCCCCTGCTGACAAAATGTGGGAATTCACTCTTCACTCTGGCTGACATGCACAAGCAAGTTTGGGCAGATGAAAGGGTTGTGAACCCCTTATCTCATGTGCTAGAGAAGTGCACACACACAATG